GTAATACCTTAACTACTACTACTACTACTACTACTAATAATAATAATAATAAAAAGAACTATATATTTAAGCAAAGAAAAAAAAAGAAAATGGCAGACAAGCCAGACATGGGGGAGGTGCAGAAGAAGAAGAAGATGGGGGTGCAGAAGAACACCCTGCCCACCAAAGAGACAGACCATTGAATAGGAGAGGCGGAGTGAAATTTCCTAAGAACCTGGGGATTTCCCATCCCCGTGGTCTTCGGGATCCCAGTCGTGATGTGGAGAAAAAGCCACCTGCAAGGACACGAGTGACAAACTTCACTGTGAACCCGGACACTGCGCGCCCAGGCCATCGGCCTATGGGTCTCCTCCCCCCCAGCGGACTGCCAAATTCTCCGGTTTGCCCTCGGTTAGTTATTGTAGAAAATTAATTGTATGATTAATGAAATAAAAAACACCTCATGGCACAACAAAACAACAACAAAAAAAACACCCTAATATTTAGAATCTGTGGAGAAAATGATTAAAAGATAATATCACTACATTCACATTTTGATGTATGTGTATGTTCATATAGACGTACATAAAAAAGTTTGAGAACAAACTGCTGAATAGTTTATTTTGAAGATAAAGCAAATTTCAGACAGTGGATCTTTTTAAAAAACTTAAAATCTTTATTGTTGAGAGTATTAACAGATAAAATAACCACCCAGTGTGAATGAACCAAAATTACACTTTTTTTGTTAGATCCGCAAATAATATATTTTATGGTGTCTGCAGAATTTTTGTAAGTTTGTGTGCTATGAGATGAAAACGGTTGAAAACCGGTTCTTTATGCTCTGAGGAGATACAAAAGCGGGCCTGACAGGGGGATTGGCCTGGGAGTTATAGTTGGGTGGGTGGGAACAAGGAGAATAAGGGATGAGGAGCCTATTCCATGAGAGTGAAACAATGGCAGGAGAAGAAAATGCCAGGAACTTTTCCAGATTAAATAAACCTAAAACGACATGCACTGAGTGCAACACATTATCTTGAATTTCCTCTCAAGGTTAAGAACTTTTTAGGACAACATGTGAAATATCAATAAAGAGCTCTATAGAGCCAGGCCTCCTTGGCTCAGTGGTTGAGCATGG